GGCCGCGAGACCGCGGGCCCAAGCCCCGCCCTCCTCGTGCCCTGGTCTTCAGCAGGCGCAACTCTCCACCTCAGCACGCGCCGCCACCCGCGGCCGCCTCGGCGCCAGCCCTGGGGTGGCGCCTGAGGGCACTGGGGTCCCGCGGCGCTGCCGGCTCCACCTCGCTCGCGGCCCGCCGCCGCCTGCCGCGTGAGGTTGCCAGTAGGAGCCCACCGCGCTCAGAGGCCAGACTTGTGCGCATCTCCGGCATCTCCGGGTGCCCGCGCGCCGTGCGCCTCAGGGACCCCCACTGTTGGAGGGGGGACACGGGGGTTAATTATCCCCGGACATTCCTAGTGTACAGCATGATCCGCGCGAGGGAAGTGCGGCCCGGGACCCCTCGGGGACAGGGTGCCTAATCCCCTTCTTGAAGGGACAGAGACTCCGGTCAGCCCCCCGCGTGCCAGATCTTCGGAGGAGTCTCTATGCTGACGAGCGTGTTAGCAGTCGGGATGACTGATGGAGCCGGGGCCCGGCACCCTTCGCGGCGCCAGGCCGAGGGGAGGCCGGACGTTGGCTTCCCTTTTCACCCCTGAGGAAGTCGGGGCTTTAACCCCGTGCACTGCCAACCCGAGGACCAAAGGAGGGCCACCCAGGTGGGCCTGGCTGCCACTTCCCGGTCTGGTGGCGCCGAAATGATGTCATCTCCACTAGTCTCTACTTCGCAACTTAAGATCGTCCTTTGATTATTGACCAAAACTGAGGAAACTGAGGCCGAGGGAGGGGGCCCGCTTGCCCAGTGAAGTTTCTCCTGAGAGGCGCCAGAGGAGCTGCCTGGAAACGAGGTAACTGCCACGAGAGCCGGTGCTCCCTTGAGTTTGACCGCCAAACCCCAGGGTATTATTAACCCTGAGGTGTGAGGACTGAGACCCCCCCCAAGTCAGAGGAATTCCCTCAGAAGGCTGACTTATTAGGACAGTGGCCCTAATCATTAATCGTCTCCACTTGCTACCTATGTTCGAATAGATGGGCTTTGGGGGGAGTCTATTCTTTTTTCGTATCCTGTAGGAAAAGTGGGACCTGTTAGGGCAGGTGGAAGGCCAGAGCCTCTTTCGGTCAGGACACAGCCCTGGCTCCCTGGCCATGCTGGATGTGGAGGTCCCATTCACAGTCTGAGAGCTGTCGCCTCTTTGCTGCCTGAGGCCACAGTGGGGAAGTGGCAGAACCAGGACTCCAACTTGGATCTTACTCTGAAGGCTGTGCTCTGGCCACTCAGCCGCACAGTGATGTAATGGAATTGATTGCAGATTGTCCCTTCAGGATCAAGCCATTTGCTCTTTCCCTCTTTGGTCAGACAGGACTGTCATCCTCTATGAGCCAGTTAATTTTTTTAAACCCACCATTATAACTCCCACAGTCACAAACCCCATCTACGCAGCCCCTTCTTTGCCTGAGATGTACCTACTTAACATTTCTCAGGAAATAATCTGCGTGTGTGTGCGTTTGTGTGTGTGTGTGTGTGTGTGAGAGAGAGAGAGAGGGTGGGGGGAGAGAGGGAGAGAAATGTGTCTAGGGGATACTGGAAGACCCAGAAATTGACTTGGGCCAAGGTGTTTATTTTGGGTAACCCTAAACTGAAGTATCTCAAATTATCCTTTAAATCACTCCTCTGCTGTATCTGCTGTGTAAACAATTATTCTGTAAGCAAGAGAGGCCCAAATAGAAAACCCAAAAGGCAAGGACATCTTCATTGTAAGCCCCTCCTTTCAACCAACCACAAACCCTCTCTGGCTCCCTCCCCTCTCATTTAAATGGTTTGTAGGCTCAGAAAAGAGGAGCGGCCAGATCCTGGCAACAGGCCAGGCCACTCAGGACAAGAAAGTCTTCTTCAGGATCTGGAAACTTGTTGCCTGCATGTGGGTTGCACATGGAAAAATTATCTCTGCCTTTAGGTTTAGGTTTAGGAAGAAAAGTTATATTTCACAACTTATTTTTTCCATTTCACTTTCAGCGGACCATGGGGTTAGACCCACTTTTCCATGTGATGCCTCTGCTGGGGTATAATTTGCAAGCCAAAAATTATTGTAATGCTATAGTATTATGCCAAAAACTTCCAGAGCACTTGTGTATCTGCTCAACCCCAACACATTCTGTATATAATTAACCCTACTCATCAGCCCTGCGAGTTGGTGTTATTCCCAGTTTACAGATGGGGTAACTAGATGAAGGTAGTATTTACCTCAAGCAGTCAAAAACACATGGGTGTTTTCCTTTGGGAACTAGTGTAGACACAACTTAAAGGGCAGAGTCAGAAATAATCATTCTGAAAGGAAACAGAAAAGTTTCCTAAAGACGATGTTGGAGAAGTAGTATGTCAAATGGTTAAGGAGACAGGAACTCTCAGGGAAAGGACTCAGGGCACTATAGGGGGTTAGAGCTAAACAGACTTTCCTTTCAGAGAAACAGCCACCCCATTTCACAGAGGGAAAACAAATGACTGAAGGGAAGAGATAGAATCCAGAGACACACCTGGGGTTTGTACCCAGTCTCTTGATATCACAAACCCAACACTATGCCCATTGTTGGCATTTTTTACTCTTAGCTCTCCCCTCCCCACCAACACTCATCTCTGATTTTCTTAACGGAAGGGTTGAGTATGATCCTGTGTCTGTTTCTGCCCTGTCTCTATTTCTCACTTCAGACCAAGCTGGGGACATGGCAGCTCTTTTCATCCTTCTTTCAGTATCTGGAGGTAGCTATGTTATTGATAGAGGCCTGGAAAAAATGATGCCACCAACCCAACAGACTCATCTACTTCTTTCAGTTCAGGCCAACAAATGTTAATGTCAGTCTCCTGCTGTGAGCCAGGCCCCAGGGCAGGAGTCTGGCCTGGAAGCATAAATTTGGGAGCCAATAGTGCTCTGAGAAGACCTGAGGCAAAACCTTCTGTCCTCCTAGACACCTTCTTTCATTCCTGCTCCATCCAACCCTTCAGGAAGGAGTATTCAGAATCCTACCACTTCTCACCGACTCCACTGCTTCCACCCCACTCCATCTCTTGCCTGGATCATCAGAGGCATCTGTTACCCATTTCCCTGCTTCTGTCTCAACACAGCTAGCCAGTGATCCTATTAAAACTGAATCTGATTATGTCCCTCCTCTGCTCAAATCTCTCATTAAATCCCCATGTCCCTAAAAGTAAATGCCAAAATTCTTATAGTAGCCCATAAGGCCTTACATGACCTAGTCCCCTCAAATTCCTGACTTCATTTTGTACTGTCCTCTCTCCTGCTCCAATCAGGCTGCCTCTTCCTGGTGTTTGTTGAACACTCTCACCTTGGAACCTTCCTACTACATCTCCTCTGCCTAGAATGCTTTCTCCCAGCTGTCCCCATGGGTCATCCTTCCTTCCCTTCAGGTCTGTATTTAAACATCACACACTCAGTGAGGCCTCCCCTGGGTACCATTTCTAGAATTGTTTCCCCACTCAACACTTCCTATCCTTCCCTGGTTTATTTTTCTGAGTATCACTCAACTCCATCTCATGCACAGCATATTTTACTTATTTTTTGTTTGTCTGTTTATTCCTTGTCTTGCCCCACAATGGGAAAGGGATCTTTGCTTTTGTTCACTGCATATCTCCAGTGTCTAGGACACTGCCTGACACCTAGTAGTCACATGATGAATATTTGTTCAGGTGAGCAAGTAAATGTGAGGGGGTGATCACGAAGGGTAGAAAGACAGAGAGCTAAAGCTTGACATCTCTGCCGTGGACCCGGTGCTAGTGGCTATTAACTTTGATCTGGAGGTGGGAGCATATCAGACTTTTTTTGAAAGTTTTTGAAGCAAGTGTGTTCTGGTGTTCTGTTCCCGTATTATGTCTCTAAAGCAGAGGAAGCAGAATGAGATTTATGCCTGTCTTCCCAGCATCCGAAGGGGGTTCCAAGAAGGTTGTGGCATCCAGGTAGCCCCCTTCCACAAGAGTCCCAGTCATGCTGGAATGCAAGCCTGTCCTTGTGTCACTGAGCCAGCTCTATTCTCTCCACCTCGGGTACAACTAATCTTAGGAATCTCATTATGGGTCGAAAGATAATCCTCTATATCTAGATTAAAGGCTGTGTTTTGACCATTACCACACATTGAGCATTGAGCCGACAGTTTAATTGAACTGTTTATGCCGCTGCCTTGATCTCTTCCCAGAGAATTTACAACTAATTCTGAGTGTCTCTGCGAATTAAGTGGGCCTCTCCCAACATGCTTTGCCTGAAGTTTGCCTGTGCCAAATCCCACTTGTCCTTGTGTTACCCAATTATGCACTCTTGCTCACGACTGTCTCTGCTGGTACCACTTCCAGTCCACTTCCTCCCTGAGGTGGCCATTAAAGATACGGCTCTGAGAATGGCCACATCCTAGGACAGCCTCTGTGATACCTGCAGCAGCAGAAAGGGGGTGGAGGTGAGGATTGGCATGGGAGCAGAGAGAACATAAATCATACTGATTCCTTTGAAGTCACCTCCAGGCAAATGACAATGACCTCCTAACTAGAAAAGGTACAAGTGTCTTTAGCACAGTTAAGTGTGATGGAAGGAAAAGAGCTCTGGACTGAGGTCAAGACTCCTGAGTTCTTATCCTGGCTGTCTTCTGACTTCCTATGCGACCTGTGAGGCCTTGCTCTTACTATTTATAAAATAGGAGCTGGCAGATCATTGTTTCTCATTCTGTGTTATGGAAGTGTCTAAGAGTAGGGTTGCCAAATTTAGAAAAAACAAAACAATAATAGCAAAAAAAGACATCCATGCAATATTTGGGACATATTTACAGTGAAATACTATTCATTGTTTATCTGAAATTCAAATTTAACTGGGTGTCCTATATTTGTCTGTCCATGTGAGAGATAAAAAAGGCTCCCAACCCCTAGCCTAGCCTCTGCTAATGAAATGGACAAGAGCAGATGTTCTTAACCCTGGCTGAACATTATAATCACCTACACAGCTTATATAGTACCAGTGACCAGTCTGTATTCAAGACCAGTTAAGTCAGAATTTCTGGTGGTGGATTCAGGCATTGTATTTTTTTCTTTTTAATTAAAAAACCCCTTCAATGAGTCCAATGTGCAGCCAAGTTTGAAAACCACTGGACTAGAGCAGCGGTTCTCACAGTGAGGTCCCTGGGCCAGAGCATCAGCTTCACCTGAGAACTTGTTAGTAATACAAATTATTGGCAGGGAAGGGGAGAAGAAAGAAAGAAGGAAAAAAAGAGAAGAAGGAAGAGGAAGGGAGGGAGGGAAAAAGAAAGGAAGGAAGGAAAAAATAAAAGGAAATATAAATTGTCCTTCTGACTTCCAGACTTTCAGAATTAGAAGCTAGGGGTTATAGCCCAGCAAGCCTTCCAGGTAATTCTGCTGTAGCTAAAGTCTGAGAACCAGTTTTAAAGTTCCTTAGGTAACAACAATGACCTGTCTTTTGGGGCCTGATATATATGTGGGTGCTAAGAAGGCAAATTAGTTGAATTGCTTTTCAGTGATGCATCCTAATGGTCAAACATCTGGCAATTACAGCATAAGTTATAGAGGTTGCAAACCCACTGGGTACAATAGCTTTTTCAGTCCCAACCATCAGTCTGATAGCAGTCTTGAAGGCTACCATTGGCACCTGAAGCTTACTGCCAATAGGACAAGGTAGTCTGGGAAGAGCCAGAAATGGACTACAAGTGTCTGAGGGCATAAAGTTCTGGGTCAGGCAACCTGAAGGCCCAGCAGAAAGGGGCTGTGGAGCCTGTGGGCAAGGAAGAAGTGGAAAGTGTGGCAGAAAGAAACCACAGGTGGGCGGTACATTAGGTCAGCCCA